GAGAGGAAGAATCTCAGCTTCTAGAGGTTTAAGGCAAGGAGACCCTCTCTCTCCTTTCCTTTTTCTCTTAATCAGTGATGTGTTTAGTAGTTTTTTGGATCGCCTACATGAAAAGGGTATTTTTGAAGGTTTTATTGTCGGCAGAAATCATGTTCATGTTTCTCATCTACATTTTGCAGATGATACTTTGTTGTTTTGTAAGGATGATGATGATATGYTGGAGATTCTTTTCGATACTATTAAGGCATTTGAATGGTTGTCTGGCCTAAAAATAAATTGGGATAAATCATCATTATGTGGAATTAATATTGATACCCAAAAAGTAGCGTTGTTTGCTGCAAAGTGGAATTGTTAAATTGAACATATGCCCATTATGTACTTGGGGCTTCCTTTAGGTGGAAATCCAAAGCTTGAAGCCTTTTGGTTCCCTGTTAAGGACAAGATCCTAAAGAAACTCGATAGATGGAAGCGATATCAATTATCTAGAGGAGGTAGACTGACTTTGTGCCAAGCGGTGTTGGGTAGCATCCCTTTGTATTACTTATCGCTTTTTCAAATGCCTGGACGTATCAGCAAGCAATTTGAAAAGTATATCAGAAAATTTTTTTGGGGAGATGGTTCAAATGCGTCTTTAAAGCATTTGGGTCGATGGGATTTAGCTTCTCGCCCTAGTGCAAATGGTGGCTTGGGCATTGGTATGTTATTGAATAAGAACCATGCTCTTCTTGCGAAATGGGGTTGGAGGTTTAGTTTGGAAACTTCTGCGCTATGGCGCCGGGTTGTGGCCAGCATTTATGAAACAGATTGTTTGATTGGAACACTCTGGAAAAGAAGAATTTGGGGTGTCGTAGCCCTTGGAACAACATTCAAAAACAGTGGAAAAAGGTACAAAAATTCTCTTCATTATCAGTAAAAAATGGCAAACGTACTTTGTTTTGGCATCACTTGTGGTTGGGCGAGTCTTTTTTAAAGGACAAGTTTCCACTTACGTTTCGGGTTTCCTCGAACCCCTACCTTTCGGTTCATGAAGCTTGGGATTCAACCACCTCCTCTTGGAGGATTGAAGTTAGAAGGTCGYTAAAAGATGGAGAAWTTGCTGARTATATTGAATTATTGGAMAATCTGAATTTGGTTTTGTTAAATGATGATGAAGACAAACTTTCTTGGAATCTGAATAAAAATGGGACTTTTTCTGTCAGCTCCTTATGTAACTCTAAGGCTCCCTTTGCTGCATTACCACGAGATTTTTGCTCAAAGCTTTGGAATTCTGGTAGCCCCAAGAAGGTTAATGTCCTTACATGGATTCTTATGTTTGGTAAGGTCAATACAGCTGAAATTATGCAGAAAAAGATACCATATATTTTTCTCCAGCCATTTGCTTGTGTTTTTTGTGTAAACTCAAGCGAAAATCAGCTGCACACTTTCTTTTTCTGCCCATTTGCAGCAACCTGTTGGTCTGCCTTTTTGGGTATCTTCAATCTACCTTGCGTTATGGACAAGTCAGTCTCGAACTTGGTTTTTCAGTTGCTGTTTGGTCTACACATGAATCCTAAAGCTACATTACTTTGGGTCAACGGTCTTAAAGTCCTTATTTATGAATTATGGTTCGAGCGCAATCAAAGGACCTTCAAAGGGTTAAAAAGGCATCCGTTGGAATGTTTTCACATTGCCAAATTCAAAGCTTCTCAATGGTGTGCTCTTTCCAATCTTTTTGTCAATTACTCACCTAGCATGATTGATTCTAATTGGGATGCTTTTAGCTCTCCTTTGTAATTTTATTTATTTTCTTTCAACTTTATGTTTTATCTTTCTCACTCCTTTGGAGTTTGTATCCTTGAACATTTTATGTTCCTTTTCATTTATCAATGAAAAGTTCGTTTCCTGTTCAAAAAAAAATAAAAGGCAGATTGAGATTTTCTTACTTTGATCAAGAGAATCTTCGTCAAATTGGTATCAGAGCTCCCAAACTTTGCTGGGCACTCG